TGTGTACCACTGAATCAAAGGCTTTACAGAAGTCTATGTAGATTGCGTCTATTGCTTTGCCCTGATCGAGTTGTGTAGTCCATATGTTTTTGCAGTATGAGAGTTGCAGATTACAAGATAGTTTTTTTCTGAAACCAAATTTTGATCTCTCAAGCATGTTCTTTGGGTTTCTTGAGTCCAGAACTCTGATGGGCTCAATCATAGAAGCAGCAGTGATTTGTAGCCCAACTCAGCAATGACAAGTTTTCTTGAGGTGCTCTTGCCATCACTCCCCTGCCCCCAGTGTAGCCTTTAGATGCCTTGGCTAGGGGTAGGAGTTGTACCTGTTGTTTTGAGAGCAGACTTGGAAAGCTAGCAAATTGGAATCAAGGTCATACCCACATTTCCCCTCAATCCACCTGGGCAAGGTGCCCATTCATTATGTTGCCTGGAGCACCGTACAAGCTTCAATCAAATGCATCTGAGGAGCACCAAGTTGCAAAATGTTGCTTGTATCCTTGCAATCTAATGACAGTTAGTCAAAATTTATGCAATTATAAATAAGACAGAATGTCTGTGTAAAAACTGCATTTATTGAACACTTACTTTTTTTTTAAAAAAAAAAGGCATTTTTATTTTTTTTAAAAGTGCACCATGGTCAATACATTATTAACTAAATCTATTCCAAAGTGAATAAAAAACAAAAACATACATTTGAAAACACTTAACAACTTTGGACACAACCCCTCAGACATGTCTGTGCAAACGTTGCTGAACTTCAAGTCCTATTTCCTCTTTGCTCTGGCAGAAACAGAGTGGAATCACCAGAGTGCTTTCAGGCCAACCAAGCCCATGATGTACCATCTATCAGGGGTCCCCAACCTTGGCAACTTTAAGATTTGTGGACTTCGCCTCAGTTGGCTGAGGAATTCTGGGAGTTGAAGTCTTCAAGTCTTAAAGTTGGCAAGGTTGGGAACCCCTGCCATAGAGAGCTGCGACATGCTTAGTTAGAATTTGGCCTCCCAGCATCAACAGAGGCAGGTAGCAGGGAGTGAATAGAAGAGAGGATCTTACTGTATTTTTCTGCTTTTCTGAGACTAGGGCCCACTATGGTGGAAGCCACCCTCCCTTTGGTATCATTAACATACAGGTTCTTCTGCAAACACGAATACATTACAACAGCTGAAGAGCAGACTTTATAAAGCAGGATTAAATTAAAAAAAAAAACTTTGGTGAAAAGACATTCTGAAGATTAGTTCGGCCTAGCACTAAAAAAAGAAAAGTGTGGGGATGGGGGGAAAGGGTTTGTCAGTCCAGGCAAAGGAAGCATTGTTTAACACAAGAAGATTAAAATATGCCTCTACTTTAGGTTGTAAGCTCCCAACCCTGGATGGATTCTGCCCAATTAACCTGAAAAAACAAACAAGCAAACACTGCCACAAGGCATATTTAGGGAGAAAAATCTCAACAAGAATTAAGCCTGTTTTCTTTTCATCGCAGTAACATTAAATAGGCATTTTATGGTGCAAAATGAATACATCTCTTTTAAATTGTTAAAATATCTTTAACCATATAGCATAATGCCTCATAATTATATATGCGTGCTTAAAAAAATACTGCATACTCCATGACATATTTCTGATTGGCTATATTTTTGGGTGCAAGTCAAACAAAAAAATGCAGATGCTTTCAGCTATTAGGTTGGGATTTAATTGATCAGGTACGCTCTAACTCAATTTAAGCACTATAAAATCTCACTGACTTCACTGCATATCCGTTTCACTTGGTAGCATTGTTGTGACTTTGAAGTGTTTAATTTTGGTTGAAATATTCTTCTGATTCATTGACATTCTACCTTACTCAATGGAATTTCAGATATACGTTAAAAATCTAGACTGTACCTTTTTTTGAAAAAAAAAGACAAAGTTGTGGATGAAAGATCACTTATGAGATACCTTTTACGAGTCATCTCAGTCTTTTAACAAACTCACAAATCTGTCCTGAAATAAAGGTGCTATTACAATATGATGGACTGCCACTGATGTTGGTGGGAAAGAGACTGTACCCAGAGGAATACCTTTCTTGGTAAAGCAACTCTGGGATTAAATTCAGCGGCTCAAACTAGGGCACAGGTTTTCCCTAATCCAGATCTGAAACCTGTTTCTCAAGGTTGGCCTGACTATCACACCCAGTAAAAAGAAGAGCAGTATTTACAAAGATGCATCCACCTATCTATTAAAAAATACCCAAACTGAAATGTTCTTTTTAGGAAAATACTTTTGCAAGTCAACTATATAAAGATAAAATACACTTCAAAGATAGTTTTTACATTATTCTATAAAGTGCAGAGAAAACCTTCACATAGGGAATCACTACTCCCTCACGATGAGAACAGAATTACAGCAGCTTTTGCATAGCATTACTCAGAGGAAGTGGGGCCTTCTCTTTCCTCAGGAGATTGGCTCAGAAAAAGTCTCTTCGGGCACTCTGGGTTTCTGAGACAGCAACAGCTTTGCTTCAGGAACAGCCGATGGTGCCAAATTTCCATTGAGGGCTCCTCTAGAATTGAATGTTGCTAGTCCTGCAACGTGAAAAGCACGCTTCAATCCATTTGCCTTTCTTTGCTTACTTTATACAAGGAGATACCATCCTATCTGAATCACAGGGCTTAAAGATGTTCCATATGAAGCCTTAACTCTGTGTCCACATGAAGCAGGTTTTGCTTCATGTGGACACAGATATCTAGGAAACTCTTAGGCCAGATGCTTGTCCACTTAAGCAAGCATGATTTACTTGTAGAGTCCTTGATGCTCTCTGAGCTTGATTGGATTTTTTTGCAGACACTTAATTAACCACCTAAGTAACATCTTTGTTGCTCAAAGGGAGTGTGGTTTGCTCTCTATTTATATACAGTGGATTGTCCTGTCAGTGTACCTTACTCCCTAAATGTTTCCTAACTGGGTGATGAAATGTCTGCAGACAAACAACCAAAATCAGAGAGCACTAAGGACTCCACCATTCAGCCCTGAGCTACAAATATTTTTTCTATTGCTATGTACTTAGGCTAGCATGAGCCTTTGGTATGCCAAGAAGTCATCCCAAGTTCTAAGTCCCACATATAAACCAAATTTCAGCATTAGATACCTTCTGAAGAAAGCTAGCATCTGGGACCTGCTCAGGTATAAAACCACATTCAGCTCAACTAGCACCCAGCCTCATGTGTTGGGAATCCTGTGTGCAGCTCAGAACACTGACCACAGGAATGGACTGCCTTTGTAAGCCAGGGCTGCACAACTGGGCAGAAGCAGTGGTTACAGTGGCAGGATCATGTCACATGAAAGAGTAAGACCAGGATGTTCTTTGGGGGGGGAGTGGGGGGAGGATCTCTTTGTTTTTTAAAACTATCTCACTCGCAAATGGGAAATACACTGCTATGGATTTTCAGTCACTGTAGTCAGACAGAGATGAGAGGTTATAAAAAAGAGACTTGAGACCTCACACTGTACAATTCTTTATCCTGATCTTCTCCTTCACGCAACAAGAAACACCACTGAGTTTAATTTTAACTTAAGATATACATAATGGGCACATAGGAAAAGTGCCACTGCTTAACATCAATAAAGAAGTTAGGAAAAATACCTCTCTGAGTTGCCACTTCAGTGTTTCTTGCACACTTTTTCACTGCTTATGGCATTGTGCCTGTTCTCTATCTTTAACAAACTACTGAATCCATCTTAGCTGAATGAGTGTGGTACAAGAGAGTTGCTGTAATTTATTTTGATATTCACTGTTATTCTAGCAAAAACACAGGCAAAGATATAAGAAAAATGAGTACAAAGTAATGACAACATCCATAAAGTTATATGTCCTTACTGTCTGTATCTTCAAAGGGAACATCTATGGAAGGTTCTGTATCTGAGACTGTTCTTCTCCACCGGTGGGAAAGCTGATGGGAAGACACATTTGGTTCTTTTCCAAAGCGACTGCTCCTAAAATTAAAGTATTGCACAAGTTATGACATGTTTTTTAGACACACGGTTCTCTTGGGTTTATTAATCTTGTTTGTAAATCCCTGGCATATATTGCCAAAAAAAAAAAAAATACTGCAAAAGATGAAAAGGTGAAGAATCACTTCAGGTTAAACATAAATAGTCTGCTAAGGAATTAAACTAGATGGTGCACAAAATTCCCAAATATCATTTTGAAGATTTGGGTGGCATGGCTATTTATGGTATGATGAAGTTAAAGTTAATACAGATTTTAATAAACACTTCATTTAAGCATGCCCTATTGAGTTTCTAAAAGTTATAAAACAATATTGACTCCCAAATTCCTCTACAGGTACCACCCGAGAAGCTTTTTTTAGAAGAGAAAAGATAGTTACACAAACTTGGCTGACCTATGTTGATTTATTAAATTTTTGAAGAAGGATCTAAATTAAAATCAAGAAAAGAACTGGAAATAGAAAGTCATATTTGTCAATAGTTTGCTCTTGTTCAATTGACAGAAAGGTTTAAAATGGACAATTGTGATTTTTACAAATGAGAAAAGTGAATTTAAATTGGATTTGTGAACCAGTAATGAACATGTTATTTGAAAATGAACATGTTAAGACTGCATGATTAGATGGGCAAAATAATATTTGATCAGTAGGAGACTGTGCTGCAAAGTACTGAAATTTACATTGAATTGTAGTTTGAAAGATAATTTTTATAAGATGTTGTATGGTTGGTATCTGGTACTAACACCTTTAACCCATTGAATTGTTGTAGGTGCTTAAGAGAGTGTCAAATACATGATGCAAATGCAAAGTGAGGTACTTTTTTATCATCTTTAATGGACATGTAAGAAAACTAACAATACCGGAATCCGATATGTATTTTAATCCAGAGAATTCTTAAAATAAATGTACAACTGAAATCAGAAAATTTTCTTTTAGGCTTGATGGCTAAACAGACTGAAAGAAAAATGGGACTTTGTTTTTATACATGATAACCACAGCGAGATTTCTGTATGCAAGGAGTTAGAAAGGTCTACAAGTTCCTAGAATAGAAGAATGGATGGTGAAGCCCATGCAATTGGCTGAGATGATAAAACTGACTACTTTGATAAAAGAAAAGAGCTTGTCCAGCTTTGTTTCTATAGTACTTGGAAACCACTTTTGGATTTTTTGCTTGAAACTTAAAGAAATGAAACTTTAATTTTGGAATTTATTAGAACTGATTATAGAAATGCTATGTATTATTGTTAAGAGGTCAATATATTTTATATTTGTATCTGTACCAAAGAAAGTTAGAAATTATTCTTTCATTTTTCTCCTTTTCTCTGAAAATTCTCTTACTTCTCCTCTTTTCTGAGCTTTTCTTTTTCTAATTTCTATTTTTCGTATTTTACCTTTTGTTGAAATTTAATAGTTTTTCTCAAAATAACAAAAATTAACAACTAGCATTTTGCATAGCATTCAATACAAGGTAAAGGAAATGAAAAACAAATTTATGACCCATGCTTAAAATTATGGACAGTGCAGCACCCCAGTCCCATGATCAAAATTCAGGCACTTGGCAACTCCCCACATTTACAATTGCAGGGGCACTTTAACTTCCCCCACATGCCTAGCTACACACACACACACACACACACACACACACACACACACACCTATGACCTTTTGGCCACCCTGCACAATATCTTCATCTGGGAAGGTTCCCCCATGCCAGCAAGCCTTAATTCACTCAGCTGCCTTCTCAGTTCCTCACACTGACCCTCTGCTTTTTGTGCCTGGCTGCTAAAGCGGAAGCACCTTGCTGCCTTTGGCTGTTTCTTTTTCGGATCCGTGACCACTCTGTTCCCCAGGGGGCTCCAGCTTCTTACATAGCTTCCCAGCCCACCCTAGCAGTACGGTGCCAAGATGCAGCACCCATGAAGCCTAGCAAGCACCAGCAGGCAGCACAGCTTTATAAAGACAGCACTTGTGGAATCACCGGTAGGAAACATTTGCTGGAGAAACTGGGTCTGACAAGGGAACGTCAAAGGCAGTGAGATGCTCCAACTGCAGCAAATGGGCACAAAAAGGCGAACAGTTGGTGTAGGGAATCGGGAGAGAAGGCAGCTAAACAAACAAACTTACTGGCATTTGCTAGGGCAAGCTGGTCAGTTCTGGATGTCGGGTGGCCAAAGGGCAGAGATAGGGGAGAGATAGGTGAAGGGAGTGAGTTGGAGGCAGTTCTGTAACCTATTGAGGCTAGGGGCTGGGAGGGGCCAAGCCCAGAATGGATTGGATTGGGGTGGGTACTCATTTATCAAGTCTTTGTTAACAACCACAATGACAGTGCTGGGATTGCCGTAGGTACACCAGCCAGTCATGTGATAGATCACTTTTGAGTGCCCTGATTTACAAGGTCATAACTGTGAACTGTCACTAAATGAGGACTGCCTGTACAAAACAGAAATGTCATAGTGAATTCAATCTAGTCATGAATTAATTTTCAATTATATCATGTAAGAGAAACTCATCAGAACCACATTTTTCCAAAATTAATGTGAGATTATATGGGGCAACAGGCTGTGAATTTCAATTGCCAGACCATGGAGCATTCTTATTTATTTGGGATCAGACAATATCTCACAATGTGGTTAAGTGAACCTTAACATAATAGTTCTAATTTGTTTAAATTTGGAATAATATTTAATACTTACCTCTCAAGGGTACAAGTTCCAGGATGGCTAACAGAACGTTTCATCTAAAAAATAATGCAAGTAATAAAGCAGGTTATTATAGATTTCAAAATATAAAACAGATTATAGATTTTGAAATCATAAATTGTTTCTTAGTCTATTTCTAATGAAATATTATTTTAATATATGTATATAGAATTTTTTTTCAGAACGTACTGGGAGGAACATGCATTATATGAACATAAATAACATGGCATTTATAACATAATTTTTTTAAAAATACAATATTGTTTTTATTGTTGGTTTTAATATTTAGTTTCTCAACCATAAGGAGACCTTGAAGCACTATGTTTAAGTAAATGAGGATTAATAGGCTAGGTCTAGACTCTTGTGCTTTAGAGGTTACCAGGTCTTCAGAAGATATCATGGTTGCTTGGAAGGGAATAGAACAGATTAGGGCTGGGAATAGTCAGTCATGGAGGTCCTCAATTTCCATTAAACTCCATAGGTTATCTTGGTTTTTTGCTCATAGACAAATATTATGGAGTTTATTGGGCAGTAAAAGTATGAGGTAATATCTTCCCCCCACAAGCAAGATTGTTATCAGAAGTACATGTTTCTAAAACAAGGCATTTAAGAATAGGCAAGTGTTCCTGATAAGGTCTGAGACTTTCATAACTTTGGGCAGAGGCCTAGCCTGGTGACCTGAACTAGAACAGCACTGAGGAACTGTATGCTAGCTTATCCCCTATTGCTCCCTCCCAAAGTTCCCCAAATGTTCAGGAATGTTTGACATTAAAGAATATCCAACCATTTGCACAGGTGAAGGAGACACAGGAGAAACTAAAGGATCAGGATGAGGCAATGGAAACATCTCCGGCTTAAATTTGGCATTTGCTATTTTCACACATTCTTCAAGTGTAGTGATAAATGTGTCACAGGTGGCACTGAGCAAGGAAGAAGCTTCATTCATATTCTGAAAACAAAAGGAAAGAGCAGATATTGAAAACCTTTTCCTAGCAAAACTTTTCACCAATTTAACTGTAATTTAATTGCCAACCAGAAATTGTAACTGCTGATTTTAGGGACTTAATTTACTTTGATGAACACCAAACATTTTTCTAACAGCTGGGTGGGGTGCAGATGTTGACTGTACCACCTCAGACACTTTTGTTCTGGTAAACTTTGTTTATGACATGATAAAAATATTATTAAATATTTAAAAAGAGAAAGAAAGGGCAGCTTTCCAGTTGGCAAACTAGAGAAGTCCAAGCCAACATATTCATTATCAATACAGAAGCACATGAACAGTGCAAGGAGCTGGAGCTAATGAACTAAAGGGCCTCTAACATTAACTCTGTGAGTCAATGTTTATATTTCTTGCAAGTGAACCTGAAAAGCATCCCCTGAACAAGAGATGGCAGATTTTATTTCTCTTTTCCATTGCAGCAGGGATGGTATTCCTCCCTTGCTTTGATATAAAAGATTACAAAAGCAATTATTCAGGATTGTATCACAACAACTACCAGTAATTAACCTCATAGAGAAAATCGAAGAACTGTTACCTCCTGAGAACAAAGATCTCTCAATTTATTAAATACAAATTTAATGGCTTTCAGGCTTTGGAAATGGACTTTGATTGTAGCAGACAACTATGAAAAAAAGAGGCTCAAAGAGCTACTGGCTTTTATATTTACACAAATGAAACAACATAACAATTTATCTATTACCAGTATTTGTGATTCTTATAAAATGTGAAGGCTGATTCTAAAACCACTATCTCTTAAAGATGTATTCTAAATTGGTCTGGGGTCTGTACTTTTTACATTCAACTGAAAGTGGATTTATATTATGGGGCTGCCAGGATTCTGAAAGATTTTGGATTTCTAACTGATGTAATAGCTTTATTTCAAAACAGGCAGAAGCAAATAGTTATTATTTCTTTAGATGCTGAGAAAGGTTTTATAAGATGGGAGGAATATGCTGATCTGAAGCAAATGGACTCCACAAAAGTCTGGATATTCATATCTTAACAGTTAAGTATGGTATGGTTAAGTAGGTACATTTACTGAGTAACTAGAACATATTCTAATAATGTATTTTCTTTTTTTAATCTATAACACAAAATCTCAACAGAAATTACACAAATTACATATATATGTTTAAATAATTGGCCTTTCAACATTCTAATTTTGTCAACAGAAATTCTGAAAATATTGTTGATGTGATAATTGAGATGAGATAGAAAATAGCATTGCCTCCAAAAGTTGCTTTATATTTCATAGATAAGCTAGATGCATCTACTCCTAATCTTATTATTTTAATACAAAAGTTTAAGATTTTGTCTAATTAATCTATAAATTGGGTAGATAAGACTACATATTATTCAATAATAATTTTGATATGTTAGTACACGGGTTTTGCAATTGTTTACTGATTTTTTGGAAATGTTTTTCACACTGGTTAATATAAATTTAGCTCCATTTTGACAGCAGTGAAACAAGATACAGATATATGATCTAAAATTCCTTTAGTTTTATGGGTAAAATAAATGCAATTTTCAACAAGGTGAACTTGTTAAGAGGCTTTTCCTATTTGTATTCTGCCACTCTATTTTAAGTTTTTTATAAATTATTATAATTTATATGTTGGATATGTTCATTGCCTTAGGTTGTTTATAAAAATAATAAAGGTGAGATACAAACAAAATATATAAACAAATAAAACCATTTTACTTCAGAATGTCATCCTTTCAGTTTCACTGCATATAATATATTGTAATAGCACTGCTAAATGAATCAATGTATCTCTGTTGAAACAGTTCGAGTATATTTTTGCAGAACTTAAAAAAAAGTTGATTATATCAAAACATTTGTTTATATTTTATTAAGTTATTATCTGGACTCAGATTTCAACATCACTTGTTTTTTGAAATGGTTCATCTGTTAAATAACTTGGAAACATTAGATGTGTAGCTCTTGACTTAGTAACCTACCTTTATAAGGTGGGGAAGGAAATAGATAAAATAATTTTTATTTTTATTTATTTTGATTTGTCAATTGCTTACAAGATAATAGGTATAAGTATATACATAGTTATGAATGCATGAAATGGGTACATATAAGAAAAATAAAGAAACAATAGGACAGGAACGGTAGGCACCTTGGTGCGCTTATGCGTGCCCCCTACAGACCTCTTAGGAAGGGGGTGAGGTCAATAGTAGACAGTCTAAGGTTAAAGTTTTTGGGGTTTGGGGAAGAAACCACAGAGTCAGGCAGAGTATTCCAGACATTGACCACTCTGTTGCTGAAGTCGTATTTCCTTCAATCAAGTTTGGTGCGATTAACCTTGAGTTTGTATCTATTGTTTGCTCTTGTGTTGTTATGGTTGAAGCTGAAGTATTCATTGACAGGTAGGACATTGCAATGTATTATTTTATATACCATACTTAGATCGGACCAAAGGTGGCGTAGTTCTAAGTTTTCTAGGTCTAGAATTTCTAGTCTGGTGGCATAAGGTATTCTACAACGAGTAGAGGAGTAGAGAAGTCTTCTTGTGAAATATTTCTGGACTTTCTCAACTGTGTTAACATCAGATACGTAATGTGGGTTCCAGACTGAGGAGCTGTATTCGAGTATTGGTCTAGCAAATGTTTTGTATGCTCTAGTTAGTAGTGTAATATTACCAGAGAAAAAGTTACGTAAGATTAGGTTAACAACTCTTAATGCCTTTTTGGCTATGTAGTTACAGTGGGCTCTAGCACTTAGATCATTAGAGATGAGTACTCCAAGATCCTTGACAGAGTTTGGATCATCAACAATGTCTTAACTATTCAGCCTGTATTTTATTTTCTGGGTTTTTTTGCCAATATGTAAGACAGAGCATTTATTTGTTGAGATTTGAAGTTGCCATTTGATTGACCATTCTGATACATAGTCAAGGTCTTTTTGGAGGGTAGTAGTATTGTCTATGGTGTTGAATAGCTCTACATCATCAGCGAAGAGAACACAGTTGCTCTTAATATGATCACAGAGGTCATTTATGTAGAGTATGAAAAGAGTTGGTCCTAGAACACTGCCTTGGGGGACACCACTGTTGACAAGTACA